CAAAGTTTCCATCGGGCCTCGTGATTTTGAAAACACGATGCAACTTCACAACATCATCAAAGTCCGTTTCATTCAGCTCTTTTAACGATGCAACAAGGTAGTCACCTCTCCATAGAAAGCCGGGGTGGATAACATATCCAACAAACACTCCCGGATTGGACGTGGGATCAAACTTCAAGTCCTTCTTCGGTTTCTGTCTTGGGCCAATCCAGTAGTCTATGCGACATCCGAACGGCAAGAACTGACCTTTGAACTCTTCTTCGAACCTAAGATTCCAAGGTGTTCTGGAACCAGAAGGTGGTTCACAAACATTCTGAGATAAACACCAATGCCTTGCGGCGTGCGGCCAGTATGAATGATTCAATCCGGCCTGTGCAAGTGCGACTCGAGTTCCCTCGAGCACGGTTCTGATGCTTCGTTCAGCCACCGCGTTCGATTTGTGAATGTACTCTTGACTGAGGACATGTCTCCAGCCCATCTCTTCAGCTGCAGCAATTAGCTCAGGGGCATTGTCACTATAAAACGTGCCAACCTCGTCTGACGAGGAAGTGAAATGCTGAAACGCCTTCACAGTGGCTTCCGTGTTTCTTTTAGCAAAAGGGTATGCATATTTGAAACCGGTGGCAACGTCACTTATGACAAGAGCAGAGTACTCATCGTCTATGCCTAGTTCCTGTTCGTCTGCAGTGATTATGAAATCGGCTGTGATGTGCTCAGCAAACTTTCGAGCATCAACTTGTCTGGATCCCCCCCGCGAGCGAGAGGGAGACTTGGTCATCTTGGCGCATTTGCACACTTCGCAGAATGGATTCTTTGGCTGGTGTGTCATTAGGTGCTTCCGTGATGCTGCTTCCTGCCTTAGGGCCCTTTCTGCAAGTGACCTAGGGCTTTTCTTATCGGGATTGCCAACAACATCTTCCCCTGCCAAATCTTTACTCTCTATCGGCTCAGCATGTTCATTTGGTTTGACTTCGATGGGGTCATCCGCCAGAAGCTCGGCGACAACTCTAGCATGCACCTCAGGGTCCTCTAGAGGGGCAATGCTAGGCGTGTACTCCTCTCCCGCTGCATCTTCAGCTTGCTCGGAGGAGGAGTATGACGATTCACTCGATGCACTGCTTCTGCCGACCTGACCTTCCGGTCGGCTTGGCGGCGTGCCTTTGGCGGGACATGCCATGGCTGAGTCGCCATCCCACACGTCGTAGTACGGGACATAATCTCGAACTTTGAGATATATTCTCGTCCCATCAGGCTTGACAAAGAATGGCTTGTCCTTCGCGTACCATATGAAGTCATAACCCTGATTCATGCACTTCAAACCTACAGAGAGAACAGAGGGTGTTTGTGGCAACAAGTATGGATCCGTGTTCCCAAGGTCACCTGCGGCCATGTTGGCCTGCTTTGACGAATCACTTGGTCCATTGGCAGTCATCAACATCACGGGGTCATTTGAATTATAGATTGCATATTCGGGGCAATTCGCACGAGTAAAAAGGTCAGTCCCACTCCCAGTGTCGATAATCCATGAACAGTTCGGAGAGAATCTCTTGCTCGCCAGCGCGGGCTTTGCGCCCATGTCTCTCGGGGCGCATTGCCAGCATCCGATATCGCTGTCACATTCGTATTTGCATCTAGTCGGATGGCCTTCCAATTCACGTCTCACAATGAAGGCGAGCATGGTTGCTCCGAGTCTAGCATCATCTATGCTGATTTCATCATGGAAAAACTGATGGTCGATTGGGTAGACCTTTGAATACACGCGCGGTTTGTCCGCGATCTTAAACTGCTCACCATGTGCTGGTATCCGATTCATTTCAACCTTCGAGCTGAAACGCACGCTCGGGAGGGCAGGCACATGCTTCCAGTCCGACATGAGGTTCCCCTCAGCGACAGGGGCGTTCATCATGGAAGACAACAAGCATCCCAACACACAAACAGCAGCAGGAGAAGGCTTTCCGGAAGACTTTCCCTTGTGACCCTTCTTCTTTTCTCCCTTGGAAGCACGGGAAGTGGATCGAGAGGTCGACTTAGAACGATCCCTACTCGATTTGCGATGCTTCCGATCCTTTCCCTGCTTCTTTTGCTTGTCTGCGGATGGCTCCCTTGACCCTGGAACGGCCGGCTTCGGGTCGATGTGAGCAAACGGGCAGTTTTCACCACGGTCACACCTCCCTTGGGGTAGAAACGGCACTCTTTCTTCTTCTTTGGGCTATTCGTTCGGCCTTTACCCTTACCCTTCTTAGGCTTAGCGTCCCTTGACGGGGTCCTACCCCTGGCATCGCCCGATGGCTGTTCATGCTTGTACGTGCAATTGTCCCGCCGACACGACCCATACTTGACAAATGCAATGCAAAATCCCTTAGGCACACGTTGGCTCTCAGCGGCGGGTGCGGCTGGCCTACCCCCGTTCTGCCTAGCAACCCGTTCTCGGTTGCGCTCGAGCCTGGCTCGAGAAAGGTATTGCCTCACAGATTCAATCAAGTAGGTGTATGAGTGATCGGCGGACTCTTCCGAGGCGCTCAAATAGACATTCAAATGGTGTTGCATTTGCTTACTTTTCTTCAGCTGGTTGTAGAACAGAGCCTCAAGCATGGAGTCATCCGGTGTCTTGGCGTTCATCCCTGCAAGGACACCCTCCCAGCTACGCATGAAGGAAGTGAGGTTATCGTTCACGAGCCTCACGTTGAGGAGATCCTCCATGGCATAGGTGGCTCCGTGCTTGATGTTCGTGCTCAGGTGCTCGTGCACCATGAGAAGCACTTGTCTCCCACGAACTGGATTCCTCTTCTGCGCCTCTACCTCTTTGAAGGTGTCGACTTGTCTCGCCAGGTCACCCTGAATGATGTTGGTGAGGGCGGACAGCAACTTGGCGTCCAAGGTGAGGAAGGTACCTGGCTCTTTGAGCTCCTCGATCGTAACGGCGGGCTCCCACACTCTGCTGATCCACGTGAAAGCGTCATCGGGGCGATCAGACGCCGCACATACGGCTTCCCGTACCTTGATGCGCCAATTCCTGTAACTCTCAGGAAGTGGAAAGGAGGGAATAATAATCCTCTCTGCCTCTTGACCTTGGGCTTGTCATGGTCTGCGTCCACAGTGGTCGCCTGCTTACCCAAGATCTTGTTGAGCTTCTTGCGGATCATTCGGGCTTTCTCCGATGATGATGATGAGGATGATGATGTCGAGGAGCTGGACGATGAAGAGCTCGGAGAGTCGGAAGGAGACCCACTCTTTCGCTTCTTGTGGCTCTTCTTCTTCTTCTTCTTGTCCTTCTTGCTCTTCTTCTTTTTGTCCTTCTTCTTCTTCTTCTTGTCCTTCTTGCTCTTCTTCCCATCGTCATTCCCATCGTCATCGTCGTCGTCATGATCATCGTCATCATCGGGATTGCCGGCAGGTGGTTCCCCACCGCCTCCGCTCTGGCCTTTACCTGCGCCTGATGGGTTTCCATTTCCCTCATTTGGGTCCTGTGCCGGAGATGTCGGCTCGTATTCATCGGCATCCCCGTCAAGGTCATCGGCTGCACCCGGCCCATCACGGCGGAGTTCGGTGGAAGCGGACCTGATACGTACCTTAGAACTAAGATCCAGGCCGGGAGGAGGAAACGTCTGTACAGGAGAGGCCTTTGGCCTCAAACCGAAAATCGGAACATTAGAAGAACTACTCTGCTCACTGCGAGATTTCAGTTCATGACGTAGTGCCTCAATGTCCCTTGACTGCTTCATGATATTCTCCCTCATTTCAGCAGCGCTCCTGTCCGCGTCCTCCTTCTGCTTGTTGTGGGTGACTTCCCAAATCAATTTGAGCTGTTCATACTTCTTCTCAGCTTCTAAGCGTTGAGCAACCCACTGCTGCCTTGCCTCGTTGAACTCTCTTTCCTTCGCCATTGCCTCTTGTTGGCATACATTGATGTGGTTCACCGCGTCCTGATAGAGTCGGCCTTTTTCCTCAACATGGCCGGCTTGGAGCTGATTGATGATGGCGTCGTGGCGCGCCGAAGCATAGGCAGCCACTTCCTCAGTACTCGGACCTGTGTTGACCACATTCACCGTCTGGCTATGTTGATATATGTTCGGGGCGCTCACATGATGTTGATGAAGGTGAGTCTCATTCTTAGTCATGTGCGCGTGCATCTCTTGTCCAGGTTGATGTCCGGCGAGAGGTTCCCCTCCGCTTCCCATTGAATCCTCCGGAAGGACGACCGAAGTGATGGGCACAAGCGCATCGCCTTGGTCGGACTCAGGAAAACTGCTTCGGGAGCGCTGTGACGGATTGCATGGCGGTTTCCCTTCCGGATGCCCACCCTTGATCAATTCGTTGGCCACTGCTTCGTTCATCCTCGCTATGGCAGGGTGGCATCCGTCGCCGCTTGACGCCATTGCGGCGCGGGTGAGAGCTGACTGTACAAGGTACCAGCGATACGGCTGATAACCTGTTGAAAGGTGGAATCTACCTAAATGTCAGCACGGGCGGCAGTCAATTTTTCTTGAGCCAGTATCATGTCGGTACGCCACTACCTATCAACACTCATCATAGTTGCTAGGTTAATCCAGGCTGATGCTTCAAGCAACTTGCTATCCACAATCCACGTGAACGCTCACTTGTTGGCCTCGACTATGAAGAAACCTGCAACCAGTTTCTCATGTTGGTGCAAACAAACCTCGAAAGGCAAACCACCGTTCTGGGGTCCCCTATTCTACACCTACACATAACCAAGGGCTACCCCAAACCAAGGCGTAGCCCATTGGCGGACGGAACTCGGCATAAGCAAATATGGAGGCCATTCGCCCTAAGGTTACTTTGCTTGAGTCGTTGGGGGATCCGCATCTCCGACAAAAGCAAAACAAGAAACAACAACAAAAGCTCAAAAGGAAAAACAAAGAAAACCAAAAACACATACATACAAAAGAACATATCGAACACAAACGACGAGGGAATCTCTCCGTTCCAAGCTCCAAGCGAGCGCTTCGCCGCTCGAACCGACTCGGTTCGCCCCGAATCGCCTCGGGGGCGTCGGTCTGCCAGTGCTCCTTGGCGACTTTGAGCCATGGCGCCTCGACATCGGCCGGTCGCGTCCGCCGAAAAAGGGACATGGGTGGCTCGCTTTTGCTACGGGGAACCCGGAAAAAAGCCCCAAAAAGGGGGGGGGGTTCCTTTTGGGTTCCCTTTGGAAGAATCCAAAAAGGGGGAGCCTCGAAAAAGAAAAAAAAACAAAACCATGTAGGTCAGAAATGTCATCCGTGAAAGAGGGACCCGGAAACATGGACTGAACATGATCTCCCAAAAATGTGGCCCTAGAATTAGAACATTGTCAGAAAGGTTGCAAAGTCAGCGTTGAACAACTGAACACACCATCCATAACCTCTTGTTTTCCTTTGCGGGGACTAATTTTTTAAACCATTCATGTTTGCCACCTAGCACCCTGAAAATAGAAGTCCATGCTGGTCTCTTGCTTCTGACTTAGCAGCCCCCCCTCCCCCCCCGAAAAAATAAAAAAATAAAATAACAAATGACAAGTTGGCTTTTGAGACCCCAAACCGCCAGCGGTCCCATGTTGGAAAGCCCCTCGAGGAACCACCGTTTGTTGCCTCCAGTATGTTGTACCTGATGGCTTTCCGTGGTTACTTATTACTATAGTGGCAACTTCAGACAAACATGGGGGGGGTTGCCTGCCTGGACAGCTATACTCCGGACCTTGAGAAAAACAAGATTCTTGGGAGGCTTCTCCAATATTTTTTGAAGCTTTGGCGCAAACTCACAAGCGAGTTCGGAGCCCAATTATTGGAATTGCTCGTATGTCTCGCCTAACTAACCATAAAAAATCCCGCGTTCCCGCGCGCTTTCCTTAACCGGAAAGGGCAGCAAAAACACAGATAACGAAGGGTTTGTTAGTTACCTCTTTGTACATGTTTCCCCTGGTTGCCGACTAAAGTCGTAACCCAACTTCACCCGATCCCGTGGTTAACACCTCCGGTTTCGCGCTTCGCCTTCACCTCCGCCACCAGCACCTCGTCGTTCGCGTAGAAGACCTCCACGATCTCCGCGGAGGCCGCCGGCGCCGCGCGCACCGGGATCCGGGGCCTCGGACACGAGCCGACAACGAGCCGATTGCATCGATGGATTGATCTATACGGATGTCATAGAGTAAGTGCCCACCCCCACCGACGAACATGGTTTGGTGCACAGACACCTGTAGAAAGACGACTTGTCCCTTGGAAAGGGGTGTAGATGCGCACTCAAATTCTGATAGGCCTATGCCTGCAGATAGATGCTCGTTATTACGCAAAGGCAGAATGGAGGGAGATTCAAGATCTAGGTATGCAGTAGGCACACAGCGCCAACCAATGATGGGAAAACAATTCACGAACAGTGCTGAAGGTTGCTCTGCTGCGTCAACCTTGAGCAGCCTCCCAAAAAGACTTAGCCATACGCAACCATTGGAAGGCGGTAAAAACATCCGGAGAACGCAACGTTTTGCTTAGAAGGCCATTGTTTGTAGAATATGCTGGGCCCCAAAGCAGCATCTAAGCCATCCCTGATTGCTCTTTTGGGTTGATAACATGGGGTGGTCAAGTTTGCTTCGTAAAGGGGCGCAAACTCAAGCGGGAGATTCGGCAAATGTCGGCAAAGTGTTTCAAACAGCCCAGGGGCATTTGCCCCAGTAGGCCTTCGGAGAACTTGAACGCAAAGGCCTACCGTTCTCGTGGTTCCCTACTTTCCAGCATCAAGTACAAAAGCAAATGCGGTGTTCCCCAAAGTTCGGACGCCTCTCTTTTCAACCGGAAAGGGTTGTTCTGACTGCCTCATCTACATCCCTGGAGTGTCTTCCCGAAACTTTGGGTTGGCTAGCGCGTGCCAAACCAGAACCCGGTGGCAAATGCCCGCAATTGGATTGGAACTGTCCCCTTGGCCTTCATCTATCCAGGCTTCCAATTAAAGGTCGACCTCTGGCACTGCGAGAACCTGGGGGGCGAGTACCCAAGCAGTTCTTGCATAAATATTATATGTATGCAAATATGTACTCTACCTGAACGTTTTACCCCTCTCTCTGGCGGTTTCCCTTTGGTCCGGTGCTTCTTCCCTTTGGTCATGTTTCAAATGGCCATATTGGTTCATCTCCAGAAGCATGGATCGAGTCGGGCGCCCTGCGACTGGGATGACGTTTCACATGGCCCATGGGGAGTTGGGGTTAAGCAACTGCTGGAAGCTATGGGGTCACTGGGGTGGTTTCACCAACAGCTCTGGGGTGGTCCGGTGCAGCTTTCAGGGAGGCTTCCGGATATGTCCAGGGCTTTTTTCCCTGGCTGGGGATTCTTGGCTTATTTGGCCCATCTCACAAAGTGAAGCTTCTGAGTGCTGGGGGCACAAACCGAACCAACTCCGCAGCTCTCGCTCTCCCGTCGCTTACCTTCAGGGGGAGGGGGGTGGGGGTCCCACGACTCCATTTCTTCAGTCTTCCAGCCGCAAAAGGGATTGAAAATGGGCTGCCCGAAACGGAGATCTCCAAAAATCGAGGAAATCCCCCCTGCCCCAGTTCCATTTCCTTAGGGCTGGGGTCGAAATCCGGGCGATCCGAGGCGATCCGAGGCGCTTGCAGGTGACCCGCCACACCTCCAGCCGCAGGTCACGGGCCAAGAGCCGCAGCCTCGAGGAGTCCTCCGGCCTGTGGCCCCCGGTCGGTCCATGGCGCGCCCCCCGCCTCCGGTCTGTGCGCGTCTCCCGTGTCCGTGGCGCACCGGGGGTGGCTCAACATGAAAGAGCCAGGTCAAAAGCACGTCTTTGGTGGAATTGTGGTGCCCAAATTTAGTTTGAGCAGCCACTGGAGTGGATAAACCGGAAACCAAACTTTTGAAGTTTGTGACTGAAATATACTAGAATGGTCCAAAGCCTGAATGCATATTTGAGGTCCAGGAACTTAAAACTTGTCTGCCTGTAAATCAAAAGGGGGGTTCTTCGATACCCAAAAGGAAAGCAAAAGTAACCCATCCTCTTTTGGGACCCGTCACATATTTTTAGACACATCCATCCAGGAAGGAGTGCGGAAGACCTTGACACAAATAGAAAACATCCACAAAAGGCTACGGCCCACTGGCCCATAGCGCCCTGCTTTCTCAAACAAGTTGGGTTGGAATGACCCGGAACAGGTGAATTCCTTTAAGGGCATCCTGTGAGGATTCCCTATTGCCAATCTAGCAAAACCCGTGATCCGGGTTCCCCTCCAAAATGGGACAGCCCCCCTTGATCCTTCAGGGGTTTACTGCGACCTGTGTCAACCGAGCTCTGGGCTTCAAATTGGGGTGAAGGGCAACCGAAGGAACCGCAACCCACACCCTTCAGGTCGCTCCTCTCCAGGTACAAAGAGAGGTCCTTTGACAAGAAATTGCCCTTTCACAGCCAGTTTTTTACATAGCCCTGACCTGTTCTGCAAGGTAGTCCTTTGAACCAGCTGGTCAAACTTATTTCCGAACTGCCCGAAACGTATCGGTTAAACGGCCTTGATATTCATCCCCTTTTTGGGCATTCTACACCTGGCTCAGACCCGACACCTAGAGAGAACTGAATTTGGCAGAATTGGGGGCACCTGGACACTCGTGACATCTTGTGCCTTTCACTTGCAGCTGAATTCAATGCGAACACTTTTTGCATTGACAAACCATGTTTCAATCGGACACGCCGATGCCGATGCCCCTATTGCCCAATGGTTGTCAGGCCCCCCCGATCCCACGGCGGAATGGCGCAATGCTGCAATGGGATAGGGCTGGACTTTTGAGGCGCTCTTTGCAACCAAAGGACCCCAGTAACAGTAACGTGCTTTTCCCAACCGATTGAATCGGGCTGACATGGGCCGACCTTTGAAGGGAGCGCGTCGTCGGTGCAAAGATTTGGGCGCGTCCCATGACACAAAGAGGTCCTCACATGATCCGATGGCCCTGGATTCCCCAGCTCGGGATTCTCACTTCTTCCCTCACTTCCTCCTTTCCCTTGCGCCCAAAAACTCATGTCCCGAGTGGATTGGTCCCAGGAAGCCCGGGCCCAACTCACTTCCTGAGTGGATTGGCCCGAAGAAGTTCCGGGTTTCTTACTGGCCACTAACATGATCGTCAGAAAAAGTTTAAAGGGAACATGTGCGGCGACTGAACCGCGCTCCTTCAGATCAGGTGCACATGTGGGGTGGGCATGCTCTTTGCGCAATGCGAAGGAGGCACGTAAGCGACCATTGGCAGAAATGCCACCTGAATGGCAAACCTCTGTTTAGGTGCCACAAACAAGACAAACATATCAGTGTAATATGCACAAATCTGACATGACACGTTTGCCTAGGCAACCAGACTCAAATCCTAAGCAAGAAACAAACACGATATTTCCGAGATCTCCGGTCGCTATCATAGGCAAACAAATGCACCCTTCTTTTGGTGACCGACAGCCGGTCAGGAAAACTCCCTAGGAATCCAGGAATGCAGGAAACGCTCACCGGTCTGGGTTTTGTTGCTCCCCAAACAGGGTGGATGTTCCCCTCGTTTTCTTTAAATAAACATCCCACTCAAAGGGTTCCCGACTTAAAGCGGCAGGGCACCCCACCAAACTTCCCTAGGCCTCACAGGAAAAAGGGCGACCAAGCCCCCCTTTTCCCTTTTGAGGCCATCAGCCCTCCCCTTGGTTGCTGTTGACCCCCTGCTTAAAAAGTTGGGGGGGGGGGGGGGGTTTAGTGGAAAACCCAACTTGATTTCCACCAAAAAGTGCAAGTCTAAACATCCAACCCAACAGCAGTCCAGTCCCGAACCGCCCGAACCTCCCCGGGTTCGAACCGGGCGCCTGCTGAGCAGCGGGTGCTCCACGCGCTGCAGGGACGGGGGCTTGAAGCACTCCGCGGGCCACGAGGCCAAGATCCAGGCGGCCGAGAAGAATGGCTCGCCCACCTTTGGCTCCAAAAAAAACTCCCTCGAATGGGCCAAAGGTGGGCGAGGTGGGCAAAAGGAAAAACCAGGTGGGCCCTACCCCTTACAAAATGGGACCAAGGAGCTCCCCACCCCCCTCCCCAACAAAAAGCCCTACGAATTCACCAAGGGTTGCAAGTTAACCATTGCCTCTTATAATTATGGACGCCAGAACGGAAACTGACTTGCAGAGTTTACTGGTCCGAAAGACTTTACGCTTGCTGAGCCTCGAGCAAAAACCAGAAATTGTTTGGTCAACTTCTCGGCCAGTTTCCGAGTAATAAGCTGAAGGCAAAACGGACTTGCAAATATGGAGCTCCCCAGAAATCAACTTGCCCCCTCCCCCAAAGATGGCGAACCCCAAAAAGCAGGTGAGCGCAGCCCTCCCATCAAACATTGAACCGGGAGGTTTCACAATGGTCAAGGACCTGGGGTCTCAGCGCGCGATGGGGGGAGGGTTAGCCGATATTGAAGGGAACCCTCAAAAAAAGAACAAGACGAGCGTACACACTGTCGTTTGGGGTAGCCGATCAAACCCCCTCCTCCCCCGCCAAAACAAAAACCAACATGGCACAGGGATATTTTTTCGCGGGTAACTCATTTCAAACGGACACCCCCCCCTCAAAAAAAGGGGGAAAAACCCTCCACGGAGTTTTTGCGGGTAACTTTTTGTCCAAAGGGAACCCTTTGGTCTAAAAAATAAGGAGGGACAACGGCGGCACCGGGTGTCACTGAGCAGCATGGAGGCCACCCTGCTGCGCCACACTCGCGTCGCTTTCCGCGGCTCCCGTGGAGAAGGGCTGAGGCAGTCGGTCGTTTTTCGGAGTTGGTACCCCTTTTGTGCCAGGTCTGTGTTTCCGGGTCCGTTTTCAGGGAGGAAATGTCTAACCTACATTGGGCTGTCTTTTTTTTGGAGGGTACTCCTTCTGCGCCGTTTTAAAGGCGCAAGAAGCCAAAAAAGGACAACGGAATCCATTTCGGGGGTCCACTAACACACACACACACACACACACACACACACACACACACACACACACACACACACACGGTCAGGCTGTGTTGTCTTTAGAACGGGAAACCAAAAGAAAACCGCCATGTTGGGATTTCTTGTGCGGATTTAAAAGCGAAAAGGAAGCCTGAAATCCATTGTGGCCCAGTAACTAAAAAGGAGTCGATGTGGGGCTGAGGGTTCTTACGTCCGCCTTTTGAATGGATTGGTCAGAACAAAAGTGTTCGCTTTCTGCTTGCCGCTTGTTTGCCCAAAACAGAAGTCCAGGAACTCAAGGCGTGAGTTCAAACATGTTTTTTGGTTCCCCTACTTGTTGCGTTCCCCTCTCCAACGTTGTCTGCCTGATTGATTTCAGGGGCTAGGGACAATTATACATGTGTTTCTTTAAAAACACACACATCGCCATCCCATGGTACTTCCTGAGTGGATTGGCAAGTAACAGCAGCCTGAACTTGTTGCCACCAACCTAGCATTCCCTAAACGTAGAGTAGTCGTGAAGCAACTATTTTTGGCGAGTTGGGGAAGTTTACCCCATAGGTCTGGCATACAGTGTCTCGAAAGCTGTTACGGTTCGCGCGAAATCAACCAACAGGCTATTCCAGTGGGAACTTCCTCATGTTCTCCAGGAAGTCCTTGCCAGAAAAGCAATCTGCAACCCAAAGTAAAGGGCCCGACGTTGTAAAGCACAGTGGTTGAACACAATGGCCAATTTGACCCGGAGAGAGCTATTCACCATCCAGTCTGGGCTGTTCCAAGAGGGGAGGGCTCCCTATTCCCAGGTCGAGATCCCTGGGACAGACTTGCGCGAACACAAAAAGCGAAGGGCAGCAACTAGTTGACCCAGCTTGGCCTGGAAAGCTCTCTGAAAAGAATATAATAATCTGATAAAATCTTGATCTGATCGCTGCTGATTAGCACCCCCCTCCCCCCTTTTGGGTCACAAAAAACAAAATCAACCTGATTTGGTCAGATACAGGTGTCCAAAGGTTCTCTTTGATTTCCACGTCCTTTGGCCAAGCAAAATAACAAAAAAACCGGAGCAGCGCCCTGTGGCTATGGAGCGCCCAGCCAAAGACCTCGCGCCTCGTCGCCGCGGAAGGGCGCCACCAGCGCGCCCTTGGGGAGGTCTGCGTCCAAAGACTCAGTGCTCTCCTCGGAGCCCAAAGGACGGGGGGGAAGTAGGGGGAAGAGGAAAAAACCTGGACGTGATATCAGTGATATGTGTATGGATCTACATGGCCGTGGTGGTCAAAACCGTTTTGGGATACCATTTTGGGGGGTTCGGTGAATTCACCACCCATTTTAGAACCTATTTTAGTGGGGATTGGGATGTTCACAGGGGGGGTACGGGATTTTGACCATGATGCACAACTTCCTGCGCCACTTTGAAACCATGGAAAATAATTGCTTGTTGGTATTTACAGGCGAATCATCATTCTGGGGCTTCTTGGGTGTTGCAGGATGTCGTCCATCCACAGTATATATGTGTGTGTGCCTACATGTAAAATTTGGTATGTGGCTGCTCCACTCAATCATCGAATCACAAGCACCAAACAGTGGGCAAACATGTTGACTACCAGTTCAACTGCTAGTGCTGGATCAACCTATCACATGCGCCCCATTTCCAGGCTGACATTGGTAGCAAAAGAATTGAAACCTTCTTTGGAGGTCAGCGTCTTTGGTGAGAATTCACCGAATATACGCAAAAGGGATTTGGAGGGTACTGGGGCCACTGGTGTGATACTTACCTGGAGCACGGTCAAAATCACTAGCACAGGGGTCAATGGATGCGTTGCGTGTACCCTTTTTGGGCTGCTTTAAAAGGTCCCCCCAATTTGCAGGCACCAATTTTGCGAGTCCTCCCATCCAAGTGGACGTCCCAAACTCCAGGACGACTTGACTGAACCTAGGGCCGAGCCTCGGCCAGCCTGGCGAGAAGACCGTTCTTGCACAAGGCGCGGCTGGCGAGGCGGTTGCAATCCCCGGCGCAGCCCTCCCAGTGCGCATCGCAGTGCACGAAGACGTGGCAGTCACTGGCGCAGCCCTTCTCCGCAGCCTCGAAGTAATCTGCCAGGCGCCCAAAAACCTGCGAACGGATCGATCCCCCCGGCCAAAAGATGGTCAGGTGGAAATAAGGGGTTTCCCCTGAAGTGAAGGGGCGAAACAGGTGAGTTGACTGCGTCCACGGCACGAAGATCTCGGCTGGCAGCAGTCTTCTTAGCTGAGCGCTCGCCCGCTGCCAATCCGCGAACTCCCGGAGCGCGCGTCGTGTGGCGAGGCTGGGGGCCCCATAGGCGCGGTCGATCAAGCAGATCTTGGCGATGCGCACGCCTTCCTCGCCTCGCTTGTTGTCATTCAACGGGGCCACTCTGGGACCCAGAAAGTCAGAGCCACGCGATATGATCCCCCGATATTGGGGGGTTCAAACATAAGAAAAAGCCATACGTTCAGCTAATATGGGGTCCATATCAGTTGGGTCCGACTTTCTGGGCCCATGGCCTGTTTGAGTCAAATTCGGAATCCTCAAACTTCGGAAAACTCGGCACCAGGGTAAAAGCAGCCTTTCTGACCCCCCCCCCCCGCCAAGAAGTTTGGAAACTAAAGGCTCTCCCTTTTGGATCATGATGAAAACCAGGCCCAACCCTAGAAAACGACTCCAAGTGGACATCCAAACGGAAAAGAGTTTTAACGAACGGATCCCACGATACCAGAATACATGTTTGTCCTTAAAATCAAAAATAGGTACCCAACATAGGTTGCCCCGGTAAATGGAAACACTCCTGGTGGTTTAATTTTGACCCGGTCTAGGAGTAGTGTTGTTTCCCCCGGAGACAGCGAGTTCGAACACTCGGCGCCACCCACATTCTTCCCTCCCCAAAACTCAAAACCCGCCCCCCAAACCGCCGGTGGCGCGAGCCACGGAGCCGCTCTAAAAGCTCCAAGTCGAACAACAGCTCGCCGCTGCCCAGGGATGCGTAGTGCAAGCCCTCCGGGCCCCACCAGCGGCTCTTGGTCCGCAGCGCCGCCCTCACCTGAGATTCGACCCGTGCTTTTTGTAAGGGAGCGCCCCTTAAGATAGTTTGACCCATTTTTCTCAAATCTCCAAATCTCCAATCATCATAGGGCCCCGCTTCTCGTTGTTCACCAGTTGTATTTTCCTTCAACCACAGAAAAACGACTCAGAGCCTTCTCTCGCTTCTTTCTCTTCTTCTCTTCACTCCCCCCCCCCGCCCCCCCGCCCATTCGCCCCCCCCCCCCCCCGTTTTTTTCCGCGGGAAATCCTCCTTCCCCCCCCCCCTCCCCCCCTCCCCCCTGGTTTCTGTTTTTTTTTCTGCGGGAACTCCTCCCCCGCCTTGGACACCACGAAGTCTCGGAAGCCGTTGCGCAGCTCGGGGCTCCGCAGGCGATGCGCCAGGCAGTTGGCAGATCCGCACTCCCCGAGGCCGCCCAAAGGCGACATGGGCCCGACGTGGCGCACCACACCGCCACACTCCGCCAGCTCCATGGGCTCCTAACAACGCGGAGAGCGTTTTGGGGGGATGTTGCGGGCTGATGGTGAATATGGTTGTGACTTTTTCGGAGTTGGTGCCTTTTTTAGGTTTCAACATGTACGTGGGCGTGTGTGTTTTCAGAGCTGGTACCCTTTTTTGGTGCTTTTGGCTGGGTTGAAAGGCAACAGTGAGAGGACAACCACACAAAAATCGGGGGTCCCCAAAACTCAAGACGCACCCACAGCATGAACTTTAAGCGCTTGGACATTCCCCCCTACCTGAAGGGGGAGGGGGGTGAGGGTCCCACAATTCCCTTTTTTTAGTCTTCCTCACAAAAGGGAAAATGGAACCCTAAATGGAATTCCAGGGGTCACCCCCCTCCCCCAATTCCATTTTGAAGGGGGATGGTTGGACCCCTTTGGGTGGACATCAAAATTCGGGATCTATGTCAAACCACAGTGGTGGCCCATCACTGCCAAATGACTGGGAGCCAGAGTTCACCAAACCCGCGCAAGGGAACCAATTGCCTTGTCTACCGGCCAAACCACAGGGTTGCCCCACAGAATCACCCGAAAGCAGCTTCCTTCACGGAAGCAACATGGCACACCAAGAGATGCGCAAACCAACATCATCTATGTTTTCCCAACTGCGCCATCATAAGCTCACCTGAAACTAAACTTGGAACCCCAATGATTAGCGGTCCCTGAAATGGAGCTTGGCCACAAAAAACAACGTGGGCTAATCTGAACAATGAGTTTATCTTTAAATAAGAAGCTAAAACGAAGATAGCAGGTCAATGCGCTTTGGCAAGTGAGCATAGCAAGAACCACGAAGAAATAAATCACACCCGCAAACACCCCTGTGCATATGCATAGAAATCACACCTAGTACGCATAATATATATATATATATATATTCTATTATATTATGTATATATGTATATATAGATATATACATACATGCGCGCACACACACACACAGGAACACACATATATATATATATACATATAGTAATGCAAATAGACATGAGTACATCAACGCCTAAGCCACACAAACCCAAGACCCCAACAACCAAAAGGGATAGCGGTCTCCTTCCCCAGCAGCTGATGCATCACCAAGCGCACCCCCTCCCGGCTGCCACAGGCCTTTGCCACCCGGGCCGCCTTGCCTTTGCCTCACGCCATCATGCGGCGCCTTTTACTTGGTGCGAGAGGTAGGGAATGTGGGAATGAACCCAGGCTTTGGCCCCCTTAAGGGAAACCAGCAGCTGGATGGTTTGTAAGGGTCATTCCCTCATCCCCTGCTGCGCACCAGAAAGTTTATGAACTGCCCGTTGGGGCCCAAAGTGGCGGATTTCCCATGAGTTTTGAGCCGGTGATACCGGGTGATACCAGGGATGCTGCAAACCTCCAGTCTTTGACACTCTGCCTCAACGTGCTGGAGCCTTGCTCCCATTCGGTCCGATCAGCAAAGGTGGAAGCTTGGCCCCCGGTAAAGGACAACGTTGGGGGAAGTAAGCTGCAAGTTCTCCATGTCTGAAGCCTGAAGTAAGGCATCCTCAAGTAAAGGGCTTTATGGTGAGCGCGGTTTACGTCTAGGTGATGCCGCCATAAAATATGTAGAAGCGGGACAGGAAGCTTTAGATTTGATCTGGCGGTGTCGGAGACGCCCTTCGCAGCCAAGCGCAAATCACCAAACACAAGCGCTTGGGAAATAGGCCTTCCATTGCAATTCGACGTGCGCAATTCGGGCTGCGAATTGATGATTTTCCTGAGTGGGTGGTGATTTGTCATAACTCGCCGGCAGAACCCCTAAGTAAAGGATCTTCACCTTAAGCTAGCGTTCCCCCTCAACCATGAGTACAATCAACATGCTGGAAAGGGGTACACTTGACAAAACGGGCGTATGTATGTGTAGGACATATATACAGGCACCTATAAAAGATGCATTTCGCGACAAAAAGATAGAACATATCCAACCAATTGGTCATTTGCAGGACGTAGAGGGGGGGGGTCATGCATTCGAATCATCTTGGCTCTGCGTCGTCCATTTCAACATTTGTTCGCATAATTGTCTTCCACAGGTGCTCGCCCTTGGGACATACCCTGCGAACTGCTGTTTGATAACTGAAGGCCTGATGTTATGTATGTTATCTTGTGTCCGTTGCTTAGTGGGAGGGTATTTCCCAGGTAGTTAAAACGGAACCAACACAAGCAAAGGACAAACCCATGCCATTGGGCGGGACCCACGTGGAAAGCGTCACCCAGTTGCTCGACCTAGCGACTGACTAGCTCCAAGCCAAGTCACAGAAGCGGAACGGCCGGCCGTCCCCCGAGAAGTCGAAGTCCCCGTCCTGGGAAAGTGGAACAGAATCACCTGGTTGCTGATGACCCCTCTACAAAAAGTTGAGAACTTTGTGTGGCTTTAGTGGAGGACCCAACTTGATTTCAACCAAAAAGCTCAAGTCTAAAGATCCAACCCAATAGCAGCCAAGATCTGGTTTCGGCTTTCTTTGTCAAACGAACCCAAAGGGGGGGGTATTAAGTGGCCCCATCTCGAGCGACCCTTTCTCGCAACTACGTTTAATCCAACCATTCCTTCTCGGCTTGCTTGGGGCCATTCGCTGCTCTCAGGGTGCACGGCCATTCTTTGCAGTTTTTACACCGACGGCAGAAGACATGACTTGTTTGGGGTTGGAACCCCAATTTAGCCAAGCTTTAGTATGGAAACCGAGATAAACTCTTGGAATATAGCCTTCTGTCCACTAACATGGAACCCACCAGAGGCTCCCTTTTAAAGAAACATGGTCGTCCAGCACCCCTCAGTCCGGTTCCATGCTAGCGGCCAGAGTATTGTATCCGCCATCGACCTTGTCTTTAAGCGCATAACACACCGCTCAGGGCTGAGCGGTATTCTAAGGTGCCTCCGTTGAAGCTTGATGCCTCAACTGAAGGCTAACTGATTTTCGCCCATCTGGGGTAGGAAACCAAATATGTTACGATCCTGCTTCGAATTCAGCCTTCCCAACATAACCGAGTGAAGACCCCCAGTTTTGCGGACCTGGTTCTGATTTTGAGGACTACGTGTGGAAGTGCATGGGGTAGGTATTCGAGGAAAACTGACAAAATTATAATTCTGACTATGATACTAGGCTGGCTCAGTCTGGCTCAGTCCTACAACTAATTGGTAGTCGCTCCAAATCCAACCTGGATATGAAGCATAGTGGATCTCTGTACACTGATGGTCGCAGTTCAAAGATCAATCAGGATCCTCGTGCCCTTCATGCCTAAACAAGGCCAAGCATGGCGTGCTTCGATCTTGCTCGAGTGGAGGTGGCTGGAACTGTGGCACTTGTCCGAGTCAATCTGGATGCGCTGCCCCGCCGGTCAAGCTGGCAAGCCCGCAAGCTGATCTTGACCAAGTTTGTCGAAATCAAGCGGAACTCGTTCGCTCGGCCCTGCCCGCTTGAGTAGAAGTGGGCCAAGTGCTCCTGGAGCCCATGCTGTGCCGCTGAACGCACTCCCAAGACGCAACCTGCCGAATCCACAAGCTTCAAGGTCTGAGCATAGCAGAAAGCACAAGCCTCAGCGTCAATGAAGTTGACCAAAGCCAGCTTAGACCAGGGAAAATGCACGAAGTTGTATGGACGACAGCCTCGGCCATAGCCACACCACAAATGCCACGAAACAGGCAGCGCCGGAGCCTCCGGAGTGCCAGGACACATGGTGCCTGAGCACTATCTATCCGATTTGCGACCGATCCAGGCTCAAGGAACGCACCGAAAGGCGGTACCAGTGGACAACTGGTTGACAACCAACCTGTTAGGCACAGACAACCTAGCAAGCTGCCCTAGTAAAAATAGAATTACCTGTCTTTTTCTTTTATTTCTCGAGGGGCGGCTTGCCGATGATGGGTTTCAGCCCCATTTGGGATCCTGCCGACATATGACAGGATTCTCTCACTTGCCCGAAGGACCTGGAAACAAAAGGCTGACCTGTGTAAACTCTGATGCTCATCTGAGGTAAACACCACGTTGCTCAGGGTTGCTCCAAGGACGCTGGCAGTATAAAAGTTGGATCCGCAAAGGAACCCAATCCCTACGAATCTACTTTTCCGCCGAACAGTTCACAGTCTTTCAGGAACGGCTACGGACAAACCTCTTGCCCAACTGTCTGTCCATCCCGTCCTGGCCGTCGTCCACGCTTCCGCGCTCCAACGCGACGGGTCCCGGCGCCGGCTCCTCAGCTCCGAAAAACTGATCACTGGAAAGTTCGTGTCATTCCCTCCGAGGACTGGCTGTTGGGCCAGCAAGGGCCCCTACACTCCCTCAAACATGGAACCTGACATGGACCTGGTTTGGACCAGTTTACCTCTTGGCTCCAAGCTTGGAGGGGTGATGCCAGGACAATTGCTCTCAGTCTCTGGTCGCCCTTCGGAAAGTGAGCAGGAATTACAAACATGATTGCTCACTTCCTGCGTGGGTTGGCCAAGAAAGTCTCAGCTGATTGAGTAGCACTAAGATGTTCTTGCAAAAACAAGCTTAAAGTCCAGGAGCACAGCGAGTGAGAATGTCCTGCTCATGACTAATGACTCATCTGGGTGCTCCTGCCTCAAGGCTTCACCTATTTCCAGATAAAACATCTCAGCTTAACTCCGCAACCACAGGTGATGATTGAAATCACCAACAGCGGAAAGAATATGGGAAGCCGAAAGAGGCATCCGAATGGCTTCTTGAAAGGTACGACACGTTATCATCTACCCCCTTGTGCTTTCTTTTGGCCTTCATATCTATCCCCACGCGGTTTCCTGCATCGGGGCATCCAAACATGCTGACTGAACACCCAAAACAACTGGACTGGCTCTCCAAGCTCCTTTGAGCGCCCCAGACTCATCCGCTTTTGGTTCTGCCAAGATGTGTACCAAGTTTAGCGGGCCGATGACCCCTAAGCCAGGTACCACCGCCTATTCATTTAGTGGGTTGATCCCTGCAAGTTGCACACAAAAAGTGGACCATGCCCCAGCAATCCGTCTAAACTTCTAAACGTAGGGTACTTTGTGCAAGTCGTGGAACCTAACGAGCAGCCATCAGAGAATCTGCGTGGAACCCATGTCAATTTGCAGATGGAACTGCCAAGTCAAACAGGCCACAAGTTCTGCTCCCATGGTTATAGGTTCTGAAAAGTTGGCTATGCAACTTCATACAGACAGCCCTTGAAGCAACCCCTATCAAAGCAGGAATCTCGTAGACCGGCCCACTTCACTTGGTCGAGGTTCAGGTTCAGCTCTGAGCTTGGGGATTGAATCTGTTCCTGTACCACTTTAGTACAGGGCAAGATTCAATGTGCGACCAACCATTTGGCCGTGGCTCAGAAAATGGTTCCCAAAATAGCAAAGAGCCTTGGCAAATGGACAAAAGAGTAAAACCTGCGTAACCCTAGGTCTTTCCATGATTAGAGTTCGGCCCAGTTATAGCATGTATAGATTTTATTGTTTGCTTCAATTTGAGTCACTGGAAAAATGTAAATGTATCCTAAGTCTACCCCAGTTTCATTCTGAGCCACACCCATTTGCCCCCGTAGGCCCTTCTGAACCTCTCCTCCATCTCGCCCGGCAGACTGCGGTCGTAGGCCCAGCGCTTGGTGGGACACGACAGGACCCCATAAGCCTCCGTCAGTTGGGCCATGATGCCTCGGGATCGCGAGGCAGCCCTGCGCTCAAAGGGAGGGAGGGCAACCACCAAGGGTTGATCAAGTCCTGGAAACATGCCTAGAACCGGACCTTGTTCAAACGACCTCCTTTTGGTGTCCATTTTCAGGAATAGGCTGCAAAAAAAACAATAAAGCAAACAAATGCGCAACTCTGCCTGTGGTGGTAAAAACGTGGGACCCCAGCTTTTTCCTGCCGAACGTCGCTTATCTTGTGGCTGGTGGGTAAGAGCTGACGACCTCATTGGGTAGCTTGTGCCATCTATTAGCGAACTGCAAGCCGATGGCTTCAGGCAAGACTTGCTAGGGGATGAGGAAATGAACCCTATACTAAACCATCCAACTGGTGGTTTCCTTTTTCAGGGGACCTGGGAACCAAAGCCTGGGTTCATTTCCTCATTCCCTACCCATCGCACCAAGCAAGAAGAAACACGAATTACCGCCAGCCGTGTTGCGGTGTCGCGCCGCCCGCTCGTTTTTCTCATCCGCCCTGTCCTCGGCTCAACTCACTTGGCGCAACCGGTGTGCTCGCTTCAGTGTTCCGGCAATGCGTCTTGTCTTTGTTGGTTAGAAGGAAAAAAGGGAAACACCAGTCATGTTTTCAAGGCCTGGAGCATCCAAAGCATTCAGGACCCATACCCCTCCCTCCTTAAAATCCCTAACCCTCCCTCCTCCTTGTTTCCCAGAAATCTGTTTCCATATGTCGGCGAGAGGGACGCCTTGGCTTGCCGGCCATGTCCTGGGTTCCACCACTTTGAATTCCCACCGGCCTGGGTCAAAAAAAAAAAAAACAATTTTGGACGATCTTCAGCCGCCTTTGCTTGAGTCCTTGGGGGGATTTTCCCATGTTCTACCGGCATTCCTCCACCCACCCCACGCATGCGCCGATGTCCGGGGCGCGGGGTGGAAGACTTTGCACAGCTTCCGGTACGCCTCGTGGATCTCCTCCGGTCGAAGTCACCTGACCTCTGGTGAAACCTCTGACTCTGGCGAGTCGCGCTCCCTTGGTGCCCCAGAAAGGTCGCAACCTCGGGCTTGGATCATGAACTTTTGGGATGCGGCCTCGGCACAGACAGAATTTCCTCCTTTCTTCCCCTTTCGAGGATTTGTTTTTTGTCAACCCATTGTGCCAGGGCCTGGTGATGCTCCCTAGATTTCCCCTTAGAACATCACCCCCACCAAGGGATGCTCACCTTTCATGGGCCAGCAAGGCGATGTTTAAACCACCAAGAAGGGAACTCTAGGGTCCCCTGGGCCACTGGGTCTTCGGGTTCGGCCCTCTCCTCCAAAGAGGCCGTGCGGTGCACCGAGAGCGCGGTGTAGTGGCTGGAGCCCTGCTGCAGCAGCTGCCGGTGCTTCCGCAGCAGCTCCTGTCGTGTGGTTGGGAGGTCCCGGTCCACACGAACCCAACCTGGAACCCACCCAAGAATCCCCTTTTGGAGTTGAGGAAAATGGTCTTCAAGCCTCCAGTTGGCGTGACTAGTTGAAGGGTCTAAACAGGTACCTTGCAAGCAAGCCTCTTCTAATAGCACCATCCAAAACGCCGTAAAGACCAGTCCAACATACATAGAACATGTGTGAGCGGGCCTGCGTCCGTCTGGAGAAGGAAGGAGCAGAACATGGCAACCCCTTGTTCCCGGAAAGGACATGCGGAAATTCGTGACCCCTGGTTTCGGCGAGGGCACCTAGGGAGTGCCCTATGTCCTTCCCAAAATGGAAAATTGACCATAGACAAATCAAGGTAATTTGACCAAACCTCTAGCCGGAAGCTTAATGGGCCACCAAAGTCCCTGGCCCACAGAATGCAGCTGAACTTGCGAGCTGCCACTGACGGATGGGAAAGGACCCTTCAAGTCTCTTGCGTGAGTGATCTCAGCTCCCCACATTGAGAGCTCCAAGGGCCCACAAGATGTTCCCGAGGTAGTTATGCTCGACAGTGGAACCTGACCAAATAGGCGCACAAGTCAAACAATGAACCTCAGCGGCTAGTGGCGGCAGGATACTGCAAAGGAGGGCAATTCCAAAGAATCCACTCGGCGTCATAGAAGGTAGCCCTAAAGCCCGATTTTCGCGGTGTGGCAAAAGGTGGTCCTATAACCCGTTTCTCCAAAACAACTGTGTTGACCCCCTCCCCTTAACCAATATGGCGGAATATGCAGGGTGTTCCCGCAAAACGTGAAGGACTACCTTCAAAACAGGACATTCATGCATCATTCTGTTTGATCCTGGGTTCCCCCCCACCCGGTCCTTGCTCCGCCTCTCCTGCTCCTCGTGCTCCTCTCAATCGCCAAAAGGAGACCCCGGTTGCACGAACACCTGTTTTGGTTTAGTGGTCTAAATTGCATGAACCATATACATATATTTATAATATACAAACCAAGCTCGGAAGCGATCCCAAAGACCTCCATTTGCTTTTAGTCCCCTGGAAAAAGAAACAATCAAACACACATTTCCAGTAGTGATAGATTCCCTTTAAAACCAACAGGGAAAACCACATATTCTTAACCAAATGGAAGAAGACCAAAGGTCCTTTGTGCCAAGTACCTGCCTGTTGCTAGGGCTCCCAAAAGTTGCGCTGCCAAACAAAGGGCAAACAGGGATAGAACCCACTGAACAACAAATAACTGGGCTGCCCTCAGATCCCCTGCTAAAAGTTTAAATTCTAGTGGGTTAAATGGAAACCACCACTAAACACTCAAAGGCTAAAAGCTAAGGGGATGGCTGGGGAGCCACCAAGATAACTAAAACGGGTCCACTTTGGCAGACCCAGTCCAAAGGCAGAATGAGCCAACCATTGGGAAGCAAATGAGCAAACTCAAACAAAAGGGGGACAAAGGGTAAACAAACTGGGAAACCTCCATTTGCTTAAGTCCCCTGGGAAAAAAATATTTACAGTGATAGATTCCCTTCAAAACCAACAGGGAAAAAACTTAACCAAATGGAAGGAAACCCACAAGAACGGCTTGCTCCTTGTCCCTGACGCGTTCCTCCTCCTCCCTCAGCACCCGCTGCCGGCGTTGCTCCGGCGTCTCCCGGGGCTTCCGAGCTGAGCCTGCTGAGTCAAAGAAGGGGGGGGGAGGTGAGAGGTAAACGCGCTGCATACCCTAGGCTGGAATTCGCATCCCAGCATTTTTTTGCCTGGTTAGTGGAAAGCAAAGAAGGGGACCCTAAAAAATCAAACAAAGGGGAGCTAATTCTGGGGGAAGTATCCTAAGTGGACTGGCGAAAAAAGGTCCGAACTGTTTGTTGGCCACTAACAAAGGTCTTCCCAAAAACTTTAAAGTCCGTGAACTGAGGGAGTGTGTTTTTGTAGTGGCATGTGGTGGCTGTGTGGCGGTACATCCCAGGCAAGGTTTAGCCCCCAAGGCCCCTTCGGACAGCTTCAACTCGCCAAAAGGGCCTCAAGAATGATCAACAAATCCCAGTGGGCTCCTTTGACAGAAAACGCCAAGTCAGTGCCTTAAGCACTCCCGCAAAGGGCACCCCAGAAAGGGATGTTGCCCAACAGAAGGTTCCTCAACATGATGGGTGTTTTTGGGTCCAAGCAAAATCAGGAGTGCACCTAACATGATCCCTTCATTTATCCCCCAAAGTTGCTTCCTCGCGTCACTGACCCTTGCTTTCCAAGTGTCGCCCAGCAATCCCTTTGCCCGAACGCCTGGCTCCTTCTGATCTCTCCATGGCACTGAGTCTGCACCCTCCTCCTCCGCTTCCTCATCATCCTTGGCTGCTGCAGCCCTTGCAAAGGCTTTTCTGCTGCTTGTAGACAACATTATGCACGCACACAACCAACTAACAAACCAAATTCAGCAACAAAAGCAGCCAACCGCGCAAGCAAGAAGCAAAGCTCAACGAACACCTAGAAGCAAACCGCTTCGTCGTCAGCTTGGCAGATGGTTCGAGTTCCCCTAAAAGTCATCCAAGGTACACCATGAAGGTCATGGATTGCCCTTATTTTCCCCAGCCACAGAAGTGTTTGCCGGAAATTAAGGAATAGCAGGGGTTGATAGCTTCGAACCTAGGCTCCCATCTCTCGCTTGAACATGGAACCTCCAGGAAATTTTCCTAAACCAATGGTGCGTTTGGGGTTGGCAATCCAAGGCTTGGCTCACAGAATCATCTCCGCTTGGGTTTTTGCGCGGAGTCTTGCACTTCCAGGTTTGGGATCCAAGGTTCAAATCCCCAAGGGGTCACCTGACCATGTGGATCCTGAAGCCAAGGATCAAGGAAGCAGATTGGGAGGGGCTATGAACAGACCCAGGGGCCCAGGGGCCCAGGGATGAAAAGGATCGGTTCTTTGATTTCAAAGGGACTTTTTGGGACAAAAGGAGAGAAAAACACCCACTGGAGGTCCGGAAAAGCATTTGGGTGAACTTCCCTTCCAATCCAGGAACTGGAGGTCTGAGCCTTTCGGGAAACCGAAGATTCTCAGGATCCTGTTAGGGGTGGAAGGGTTCTGAGCGACAATCTGGCAATTGGCCCGCTTGATCATCTCCCTACTTATTCTTGGTTGCTTTCTGCTCCCCTGCTTTTAAAGTTTAACTTTTAGTGGTTTAATGGAGAACCCATTGGTTGGCAAAAGTTAAAGTCCTAACATCCCTTGGCCAAATGCACCAAAGTATTCAAAGCCAGCGTCCAAATCTTCCAGTCGCCCTTCGGCTCGGAACTTAGATGGCCCGCGCGGCACCAGCACCGTCTTCCCATTCACCTGGCAGGCTGCCAGTCCGCATGGGTTCCGGGCTCAAGCAGCTAGAAACCTGTCTTTCCCTGCTGTTTTGGGCGGGAGCAACCCCTTTTAGGGAGAATGATGAAAGTAGGCACTGCCTTTTTGAGGCATGAATTTTGGAGGATCCCGGAAGCCTGGAACCGAGCAGCCTGTGTCTCCATGCCAGGAAGCTTCCGATCTCTACATCCCGATCGGAAAACCCCGCTGAAAAGTGCAATCTAAGGCCCGGGAGCTGATGTTCAAACACATCGGTCCCATGGAAACCACCCGGGTCGCGTGGACTCGGCGTGTGTCTTGAACAAGGTACATAGCTTTGGCTTGCCTGAAGGACCTACGAGTTCAAGGCTAACCTCTGGGCCTTCAATGTTCAGGCAAAAAAAGAGGGAAAGCTCTTGGTTAAATGGCCGGCTTTGGGCAAGTGAGATTCGACTGACATTGGAACCGTCTGCCGCAAGAAGTGGGAAATTCCCTTTGCAGCATGTAAGATGCAAATTTGATTGATAGACATCATCACCCTTTTTGTTGACCAGCGAATGTACAAAGGGACTAGTTAGGGAAGTGCACCCTACAGAGTACTGCGCCGATAGATCCGGATTGATGTTGTTAAATAGCAGCCTGTGGATTAGTATGAAAGCTTCTGGTTGTGTAAGCGTGACGGGTGGACCCCGTTGCGAGCGATATGTTCCAATCACAGAAGCCCCGCCTGTGCGCTTCCATGACTGGGAAAACTGCTGTTTAGAACCCAAACAACTTTCCCTTCCAATACAAACATGCAAACGCACAGGGCTACGCTTTTACAAGAACTCTCCAAGCGTGGAAAAGTGGCCTGTGCACCAAGCCGGGTTGCTTGGAGGTTGTCCGTTTTACATCCTTTTGCTTGGATTCTGCCATCGATTCCCAAGTGTTTGGTAGTGGTTCCCTCGGCAATGCCAACTTCAGATTAATCCGGACCATGCTAATAAAGCTCCTTTTAGCGGGGGATTAATTCATACGGAGGAGGATCCTCAGATTGGTATGGGCCTTCGGATCAATTCGAAGTTGGCACTAATCCGCAAACTTTACAATAATTCCAAGGCCTGAAATCAGAATTGGATCCCGAAATATTGCATCACCATCTGATTTACCCCGGATCGGTGAGCTGGCCATAGAATAGGACGATTTCCCTCCCACCAATCGACATGGAACCTGACAGGGGGGGCCCGGAAGCTCAAATTTTCCTCATAAAAACCGACCCCTCAGGTTGCATGTTGGCGGGTGCCCCATTTCCCGCATCAAAAAGGGGCCTTCCGGTTCGCACGCCGCCAGCCGCGCCTCGTGGGGCAGGAAGCGGTCGCCCACACGCACCCAGCCTTCGGCCTCCTCCCCCGCGACGATGCTGCCTCCCACAGTCGTCTTTGAGGCTAAAAGAATCAAAGCCGGAGAGAAAAAAAAACGAATGGATGTAGGTGAATTGTCATGTTTCACCAGCCTGAACTAAGGTGGCTGGAGGGATGTTCCCCACATGAAGCACCGAGGTTGTTTTCATTTTCAAGCAAAAAGATCCAAACGGCTGTGTCAGATCAAGGGCCCAAGGTTCTCAGACTTGGCAGACTCAGACTTGAGGACTCGGCTCCTCTCACTACTTCCCCCCCACCCCGCCGGTTTTTGGGCCGCCCCCGGCCCCGGCAAAACCCGCGTCCAAGTCCCTGCCAGGGCGCCCCACAGCGCCACGGGCCGGCGCTCGTCGCGGTCCTCCAAGACGCAGCTGAAGCGGAAGGCGACCCCCGGGGCGTCCGCCTGAAGCTCCGTGTTGTCCACCACATACCTGGCGCTGCCGGGGTGCCTTGCGGATGTGGGGCAAACTGGGTGGGGCAAAATATGGTTTAAACACCACCTTTACAAGGGAAGAATCATCATAACCAGTGGTTTAAACATGTTTAAACCAATGGGTGGCCCCACTCTAGGGGCAAAAGAGACACCAGTTACCACCCCCAGTGGATGTCCGTGCAGATAAAGAAGAAGAAGAAAAAGACACATGTGGTCATTTGGTTCACTATTCAAGGGGAAAGAACCCCCCACCAAAAAAAGGGAAAAGGGCACCACTGCAGACTGCGGGCCTGGGCTTGGCTTGGCACCTCTGTGGCGCTGCTCACATATGCAACACGCGGCGATCGCTTTCCGCCCTGCAACAATGCACCCTTTTCAGCTGCGACTGGACTCAAATAGTCATCTCATGTTCCAAAAGCGGTCAGCCTCCTAGCGCTGAAGCGCCTCACAGGCCCCGAACCGTCCCACCCTAATAAGCCCTACACTCTTCGCTCCGCTCTTCTCCAACTCTTCTCTCTGCCCTTCTCCCTTCCTTTTGCCAGCTCTTCTCTCCGCTTGTTTCCGCGTCTTCTCCCTTTCCTGCCTGCCTTTTCTCCATTCTCTCAACGCCATTCCGTTGACAGTACTCCAAGCTTCGCTCAGTCTTGGCCAGCTTGTTCCACACTTTTCTCTCTCAGCCGCTCTCTCTGCAGGTCTCAAGTCTCATCCTCACATCCCCTGCCTTAAGGGGGAGGGGGGTGGGGGGTCCCACAATTCCCTTTATTAAGTCTTCCCCACAAAAGGGAAAATGGAACCCTAAATGGAATTGCAGGGGTCACCCCCCTCCCCCAATTCCATTTTGAAGGGGGTTGCGCTGCCAAGCCGCTCAGTGACTTGGTCCTTCCTGGGCTTGGGCCGGATGATCTCATCCTCGAAGGCTTCGCCCTCCGACAGCGCGTATTCCCCGTAGTCAATCTCGGCACCCTCTTCCTCCTCCAGCTCGCCCGCGCCCAAGTAGCCTTAGTGGAACTCGTTTACACTAAACAGGCAGTCAAATTACTGCAATCCCCAAATCAGAAATGAGGATAGCTACAGCAAAGGACCTTCCATCATGCGCCAGCTTGCGTAGACTCTGGTGACCTTGCTATTTGTCCGGAAATGATTGGAAAACGGCCTCTCTAGCTGGGGATGCCAGGAGTGAAACCACCCTTCGACTCAGGCAAATCCCATTCCGCATCTTGCCCATTAAAAAATGTGGGAAGCCAGGGCCTAAAAACAAAAGAGGGAAGGCCAGGGGGCTAGCCCATCTCCAAATGAATCAAAGGGTCCCAAATCCATTTTAATAACCTTTGCCCACAAACATATCCGGGATTTGGGGATTTTGCTGAACACCCGCAATGGCACTGAACAACACACATCCCCACAAAAGCTGCGTCACTACAACAAACCATGCATCTATTTGGCTATGGCTCAAATAAATGTACCAAAATGGCACCTTGGTAAATGGAACCAAAGACTAACACCTGCGTAACCCTAGGTCTTTAATTTTGAGCCCCACCCATTTGTGGTTGGAACATGTTGGAACTGTCCATTACTTCCCTTCATCTCCCCGGATTCTGTTTGCTCAGCCCAAGTCAAGTGGCCCAGCGCGTAGGGAGAGTTCAACACCGCCCGCTCTGCCTCGCTGATGGAGGCAGCCGGGTAGCCTGGAGACGTGGAGTCACCCACGCAACACGGAGCCAGCGTCCACTCTGCGTCCCTTTAATTCTAGGGGAACACTTCCCCATTCTTTCCAGGGATCCTTCTTTTCAGAAAACCAGTAGAATCCAAGGGGAAACAGCTGGTTGTTGAAAAGAACGATGGTCGAAAAGAATGGGGAATCAACCCCTAATTACTTGGTGGTTTGGAGTGGTGGTTGCAAGGTTCAGGGTGGGAAACCCTTTATTCCTCTACAAGAGACGGGCCAAACTCTCCAATCCAAACCACCAAACGGTTACCTGGCCCATAGCCACCCAAACAAACGCAACCGGTTAGGATAGCAAGAAGCAATGCTGTTGTGAAAAGAAACAAATCTGAACATCTAGCGCACCCTTTTTGGCTTCCTTTGAGGGAACATTGTTCTGCTGAAATGTGGTTTGACTTTTTCTTGGGGTCCGAGAACTCCTTTGAAAAACATGGAACATGGCTTGCAGACTCTGGGTGCCCATCCTGGATCGAACCCCTTTTCGTCTTGTGCGGGGGCGGAGGTGAGGGCTGGAGGGAGCGTCAATTGGGGAGCCTGTCTTTGCATTGCGTACAAAACATCACCAACCTGAATCAAGGAGATCCTCGCATAAGGCATCTTCACAAACAGGTCAGCTCGCCGTACATAGTGCAGGAATGATCGACGAACTTGATAAACAGAATCATGCATTTGGCGTGTGGGCACTTTTCTATCTTGTTTCCCGGGGGGAAAAAGGAACCTACTTGGGGAAAATTGTGACCCTTCCGCTACTAACTTCAGACTAGCATAGCGCCGTGACGGGGCATTTGGAAGATCAGCAGACTGTCTCATGTTTGTGGAAGGGAGGCTAAAAGGCTAAAAATACCCTGATCGCTGGGCCATATTCAGTGAACCTCACAATGTAAAGCCAAATCAAGAGAGAGCCCAAACATCCTGTTGTCAAAACCAAGGGTTGTCATAATTCCCAAGAGCATTATCGCATCTTCATGATGAGGTAGCCGTTGTTCAAAAGTACCCCGCGACCCCATGCAAATCATTTAGGCGCGTATAGCATTTCAGACCAGATTTTCCGAGACCCCTGATTAAACCATTCAAAGGCCCTGATGGTACACGCCGACCCCCCCCCAGTAGCACTTGTTTGGGCATTTGAATTTTAATGGACACCCTCCAAAGAAAGGAAACGGGGCGCCGCTGGAGAACCATCATTGTGGCTATGAACCTCAACAGGGAACCACCCCAAAAGTGGTTGGTCAGCACGATACATCCTCTCCACCAAAGAGCCCCTAATTAACTTACGGACGCCCATGTGGGAGTTTCTATTTTGAGGTGGTACCTGTTTTTTTTTGTCGTGTTACAGGACAACCAGAAAAGAACCCCCCCAAAAAAGAAATACACCAGCATAGACCCCAGATAGCACACTACGGCTACGAACCATGGCGCAGCATCACAATGGTTCCGGCGGCATCGTGCTGATGTTGACAACATCTTGATGATGTTGACAGTACCATGAGGATACCACAGCTACTCAGCATAGTGCGCTAGATAGACGCGCAGACAACGTCCTAGTGAGTTCAGCGCTGACAGGATGATGCTGATACACCAGCCACGAGCGATTCCACGCTACATATCTAGCAGAAAAAAGGCAGAGACGACGTCCTGATGAGTTCGACAGCATCATGATGATGCGGACTGCATCATGATGATGCGGACAGCATCATGATGATGCTCACAGCATCATGGTGATGGTAAAAGCAGCATCATGATGATACCACAGCCACGAATCATCTTGCGACAGTGTAATGAAATTCAGCATCAGCAGCACCATGACGCGGTTGACAACACACCAGCTGCCAGCATCATGATGCTGCGGCTAGCATCATGATGATGCGACAACCACGATACCCCAAACAGCACCCGCCCTACCACCCTGCCATCCATATGCGCCCGCACCGTCACCAACACCCCAAAACAGCAGCCCCAACAGCACCCCAACGCAGCACACGCGCCAGCACCGGACACGTCCCCAAGCACCCTGCCGTCACGTACTGTCACCAGCACCTCAACCGAACAGCACCCCAAAACCGCACCCCCCTTCTTCGTTAGAAGTTAGCGCCCCTATGGTTTCCAGCTATCTGGGAAATAAGCGCCCACGCAGTCAGCAGCACCTCCAATAGCAACCCAAAAAGGCACCTGCACCACCGCCCCAAACTGCATGCCCCCTAGCACCCGCCGGTAATGTCCGAAAACTGCGCCCACAACGTCAGCAGCACCTCAAACAACACCCCAAAACAGCTGCATCAGCTCCCCAAACTGCATGCGGGCATCAATCTTGCAAGAATGCGCCTGCGCCATCACCAGCACCTCAAACAGCACCCCAAACTGCACGCCCACTAGCACCCGGCCATCAAGCTCGCGAAACAGCACCTCCACTAGCACCCCAAATTACATGCCCCCTAGCACCCGGCCGTCAATCTCGCAAAGCGGCACCTCCACCAGCACCCGAAACTATATGACCCCTAGCACCCGGCCGTCAATCTCGCAGAACAGCACCTCCACCAATGCCTCAAACTGCATGCCCCCTAGCACCAGGCCGTCAATCTCGCAAAGCGGCACCTCCACCAGCACTCCAAACTGCATGCCCCCTAGCACCAGGCCGTCAATCTCGCAAAGCGGCACCTCCACCAGCACTCCAAACTGCATGCCCCCTAGCACCCGGCCGTCAAGCTCGCAAAACAGCACCTCCACCAGCACCCCAAACTGCATGCCCCCCAGCACCCGGCCCTCAATCTCGCAAATCACTTTCCCTTCTTTATTAGAAGTTAGAACCCCTATAGCTTTCATCTATCTGGGGAAGAAAAAGAAAGAAAACCAATCGTGTGGGAGTGTCTGTTTTTTGGAGGTTGCCCCCTTTGTTGGCGTCTGTTTTTGGAGGTTGGCCCCGTTTTGGGCGGCTTTGCACCAAAACCACCCCCCCACAAAAAAAAAAAAAAAAAAAACGGAAAAAGAAAACGAAGACGAAACAGGTAAAACAAAAAAAAAAAACGAGACGCGCCCAGGGTGTGTTTCTCCAAGCCTTTCTCCGGCGGCCGCTGGGCCAAGGCCTCCACCGGGGTTGCCCGGATCTGGGCCACGGCAGCGGCAGCGATGGCGTTGGCGCTGGCGGTCATCGCCCGGCGAAAAACGGCCGCAGAGGGCCGCGCTTCTTGTGTCCTTGGGTGTGCTTGGTTGCTTGCGTTCCTTTGCATGGTTGGTTGGTTGGTTGGTTGGTTGGTTGGTTGGTTGGTTGGTTGGTTGGTTGGTTGGTTGGTTGGTTGGTTGGTTGGTTGGTTGGTTGGTTGGTTGGTTGGTTGGTTGGTTGGTTGGTTGGTTGGTTGGTTGGTTGGTTGGGTGCTTGGTTGTTTGGTTGGTTGGTTGGCTGGTTGGTTGTTTGTTTGTTTGATTTGGTTGTCTGTCTGTCTCCGTCTGTCTGCCTGTCTGATTGTTTGCTTGTGTTTGTGTGTGTGTGTGTGTGCGTGTGTCTCTGTAAATTTGCTTGTTCGCTTGGTTGGTTGTCGTAAGTGCTTGTTTGCTATTACAACCGCCCTTGTATTCGCGTTGTTTTCTTGCTTGTCCAACCATCGTGGCCTTGGTGATGCTTTGCACAGAGTTTTGCGCACAAACACTTTTGGTAGTGGGAAGCCACGGTTCCAACACATGTCCGTGACACAGCTCTGAAAGGCACCAAAGGCAATCAGCTTCGGCGCTTCGACATAGAAGTCTCTCATTCGTCCCAAAGGCTTTAAGGCTTCAACTGTTGAACCAACCAGTCGTTTGGTAGGCACAACGGTCACAAGGGCCCCAAAAGGGGTGCCTATGCCGCTCCAAGGACCCCAAGAGCAACTGCGTCGGCTGAGGTGGCGAAGGCTACAAATCTAAGACCATCACGAGGTGACGTATTGCAAGTCTCCGAGGGGCTCTGCTTAATAGCACTTAAGGTGTAGTGGCGTAGCGGGCCAGGATGAAACAAATAACAACTGCTCTTGTGCTTGCCTGTTTGCAGGTCGTCTTGGCTGAAGCTTGAGCAAAACGGGTTGGCATTCATTCAGCCACAGGCAAACCACACATGCATGACTTTCTGGCCGCAAACCTCTGCCGGCTATGGCAAAGACGGGTACTTTTTTGGAGGGTGACAGGGGTTTCGACGGGGAGTTCCGTACCAAAGCAAGAAACAACAAGGGCACCACTGGAGGTCTGGGGGGCATTCAGCGAAGCACATTAATTTAATGGGCAAACGATGGATTCGACTTTAAATGAGTCGAACCGTCGACGTTCAACCAAGCTGAAAGCAATGCTTGGCCACCTACAAGCAGGATGCGCAGTTCGCAGCTCCAAGTTGACACCCAAACTTTGTTTGGGCGATGGCTGGACCATTTGGGGTCAGTAGGAACAATGGCCCCAGGCAGACCAAAACTCTGACTCCCAACTTGAGTTCCCTCGCAACGGGTCTTTGGGCCCACTTCCTGCAATTCCTCAGATCCTCGCGAGAACGGCTGGTTGGAGCCACTCCCTTTTTTATAAATTAACTGAAGATTTGTTCATCTATGTTGAAAACGAGGGGGTTAGATGAACAAATCTTCAGTTAATTTATAAAAAAGGGAGTGGCTCCAACCAGCCGTTCTCGCGAGGATCTGAGGAATTGCAGGAAGTGGGCCCAAAGACCCGTTGCGAGGGAACTCAAGTTGGGAGTCAGAGTTTTGGTCTGCCTGGGGTCCCTTTTGGTTGGGCACGCATCCTGGGCCTTCGCAAGCCACCCTGCCCTGGGCGTGAACTCTTTGGCTTTCCTACAGGGATCCGGATGCAGTATACACCGTTGCAACTTGTAACTGGCGGTTTCCATCTCTTTACTTTGGTGTTGAAAAAGCCGCATGTTTCCAATGGTGGCAAAATGGAGATTTCTTTTCAGGAGCCCTGTGCAAGAGTTGCAGCTTGGCTCCAAAAACCGGGAAGCTGAGGACCCGGTACCCCGCAGGTCTGCGTGACCCGGGTCCGCGTGATCCGGGGCCTTTCGCTGCTGCGCCATCGTCAGGTGCGCCGGGATCCGGTAGAGCTCCTTGGCTTCAGATTCGCGACGCGTGAGACGTCTCGCTTCCTGTCACCCCAGCGCTCTTTACAAGATCCCCCCCACTCCAAATACCCTCTTTTCTCAGGGTATCATGCCCACCCTCTACTAAAAAAGAACCAGGTTTTCCCAAAAAGACCCTGAAAAAAGCGGGTATTTTGAGGAGGGGGTCCGTGAGGGAAACAGGGGCACCCTTTTTCGGTTGAGGTTTTCAGGAAGCCTACAAAAGCAAAGGACGACAAACCGCAGCTCTGGGCTGGCTGACCCCCTGCTTCTTGTGCATGAAATCCCGGAAGCCGAGCGCCCCGACTCTTGAACCACAGTCCAAGAGTGGCCCTCTATTGGGACCAAGGGTCCTCGTTGAAGATCACCTTCGCCCGCAGGTACAGTGCCTTGCCTCAGGTGTGAGGTTTTGCGCTGGTGGGCGAATGAAACCCAATGGTCTCCCGAAATCCCCCCACAGCATCTTGGGGAGCAAATTCAATCTGCCGAGCCTTCCCCCCCCAAACAGGACAACTTTGGAATTTCGAGGCGACACCCCCTTCCAGTTTGTTTTCAGGGGTGGCTGAATCACATCCACGACTCCAAAAGCACAAATCTCGCGTGGTCGGGACAAGCAAACGACAAACAGGCCAATCTCAGACTGGGCAAAAATTGGAGATTTGTCTCTGAGAGTATCTATACACGGGTGCGGGTGCGCCTTCAATCTTGGAGTTTAGGCATCATTTACAATGTATGCATCAATGCGAGAACACATACATGTGTGTGTGTGTGTGTGCGTGTGCGAGTACGAGTGCGAGTGCGAGTGCGTGCCTCTTTGTGCTTGTGTGTCTTCGGTACTGTGAGGGTTTGCGAGTTTGTTCGTGCTTGTGCGTCTGTGTGGTTTGACTTCGCGGCTGTGTGTGTGTGTGTGTGTGCGTGGGCACATCCGTCTGCAATTCTACGTGATGTCCGAGTTGTCGCTTGTGTTTGTGCGCGCGCCTCCGCGTCTCTGCGACTGTATCTGTTTCTGTCTCTTTGTGTCCGTGAAGGTTTGTGGGTGCGGCTTTGGCGCTCCTCGAGACCAGAGAGCCATCGCTTGCAGACAAGGCACCTGCGATGGTTTTGCCTGGCGTCCGCCAGCCAAAGGTTCTGAACATACCCTCCGTTCAAAAACATGCTCCGAACCAATCAGGGGTGTCCAAAACAAAGACTGATCAAGCCAAAAGAGAAACTTATCCGTTCTAGGGGGTGCCGGGCACAGCCAAAGGCATCTAAAACTCGCCGTTTTCAAAGGAGGATCATCCAAGCTTGCTAGTATCAGTCTTGTTGAAAAAACGGACAGCACGTACAAAAGACAGCCAACACTGGCTCCCTTTCCAAGAAGCCAGCACACCGTCAGCAGACTTCATATAGGCTCCGGGCTTCATCCCAAGTCTGCGAGAAGCTTGCTTCAACTGCAGGGTCTTAACAAAACCACAAGCCACACTCTAACCAAGCCAGGGGCAGCCTCCCAAGCTTTGCGGACCCAAACAAAAAAAAACACCTTGGCCCCCGATCCGGGTGATTAGGGCTTTCAGATGTGAGGCGTATGATTTCCCAGCGCCTTGAAAGGCCGCCCCAGCCATTTGACCCACAGCTCGACTCGACTTTTTGGAGGTGCACCGAAAGCCCCGAAACCTCGACCGTGGGTTCCATGCTAGCGGACAGGGCAATTCTTTTGTGCCTCGATCTTTTGGGAACCAAAACCAAGCCCGCCTCCCACGGGCACGAAGCCACGCAAGCCCAGCGCCTGCGAATCGCTGGCGAACCGGTTTAACCGTCCCAATGTTGGAGAGTGGGACCTGGGCAAATTACTAAAACATACCAAACTGAACATGAGGAATTTTCCGAGTGAAGATGAGCTCGCTCTCAGTTATCCAGAAGGTTGCTATTGAGTCTTTTCCTTGAGGTGGTTTGTGGTGGGGGGGGGGGGGGGTAGTAGAAGTTCTCCCTTGCCCAAAGGACCTGGAAACAAAAGGTGATCACTTTTGGGGCCACGACTCAAAACGGATCAAACTGAGAAAGCCATTTTGGTCAAACGCCCCAGATCCACTGCTTCGCTTGAGAGTTGGTCCGTAGGTCACTTACGTGTTGGCCAGCGCCAGCTCTCGACTCACCTCATGAAGTTGCGGCAAATCCTCCAACTGGCACCCAGGGTGTGGGTCAAAATTAAGCCACCAGGATATGGACCGCAGGTCATGTTTCCATTCACCAAGGTTCCATTTTGGTATCGATGTTTGACCAGCCAGGTGTCGTCATCTCCAATGGTTCCCAACAAGTAAAATTGCACCATCTGTCACGTGCACGCATGGTCAAAACACGCGCTTGGGGCGCAGTGGCTAGACAAATATTTGCTCTGGAAACATGACCCTCCATGGCCCTGACAAAAGGAAAGTCAATCACACAAATCATAGGGGTCTCCAAGTGGGTTAAACTGGGTAACCCCCCCACCACCAATTACGCGGCTTCTCCAAGAAAGTCCGATTCCAAACCATGCAAAACAGGTACCGATTCACAACAACGCCTTGACACAGGACAGCGCAAACTGTGAATGGGCAAAATTGTGCACGAGTTTGAAAGCATGAGAAAGTTGGTGAGAAACCATGATTTGTTGGTGCTTAAAAGGGTTTCCGAACGGTGTTGCGAAATGGATTTCGCACTCCACAGTATCTCCCGCTTGGGGCATCTCTTTCCGCGCCCCTGGCACATCGATGCGAGCCTCTCTGGCGGCCTTGACAGCTTCAAACCACGTCTTCAGCTTGGAGTGCTGGAAGCCTAGGCCCACGAAGCTGTTTTGGATCCTGAGGATCCTTGCGAGAGCCACATGGACCTACAGGAGTTCCTTACACACGACTTGTACCCTCCCCCAGGCTAACCTGGAAGCTCTCCCAGGGCGGCTTTGGAACACTTGGCTCTGTTTACACGGGCCTTCTTGGAGCTTCCATGCTTTTCTGGAGTGCAAACACTCCCACACCATCGCCTTTCCACAAATGGAAAGGAAATCGAAGTTGAGCCTCCCCCTCCAGGCCAAGGGAGGGGTCAACAGGGGATCCGGATGCATTATACACCTGAACATTTCAACTTGTCAATGGAGGTTTCCCTTTGTTTTGGTGTTGAAAAAGCAACATGTCTCAACTGGTGGCAAAATGGAGATCTTGTAAGGAGCCCTGTTTTGTGTAGTGTTTCAAGGAAAACCAAAAGGCAAAGCGCAACCCCCATTTGGAGACATCCACATATGAGCTCGTGTTTTTGCAAGGAGCCCTGCTCAAGCGAGAGCGATTGAAATGCTTGCCAGGCGTCGGCTCTTGGCCTGTTCCGAGGACTTCTTGGACACCACCTTGCCACGCCTGGCACCAAAAACGCCCCAGGCGTAAGCGCCCCCGAATTTTCGGAAGGTGGACCAAGGGGACCAACGTGTTTTGGGTGTTGACTCATTTTTTGGACTTTTTAAAGGTGTGGGACTGTGGGACCAAGGGGACCAAAGTGTTTTTGGTGTGAACCCATTTTTCACATTGAGGAGCCAGCAAGCTCCTAACTTTGGAACAAGGGCGCCATGCCTGGAGGTCCTGCAAGGACCTTTCTTGCGCAACAAAGTGCCTTGCACTCTTGGATCCTGACGGGGCCATTTGCTTATCTACCACAGACTTGTTAAATAAAATAAATAAAATGCTTTAGGGAACAGCTCAAGGACTAACTCTTTCCCATCCAATCACACCATTTAGGTTGCAACCCCCTTTAGAATCATCCGATGTTTCATGGGCAATATAAGACTTACTTGCTGAGGAAAAGCCGGGAAGTGAGGCTAGCGAATGGAACACAGATTGCCAAA